AGGATAAGGGTGACAAACGAGCACACAGTCCACCTGATGGTAAGAGGTTGTTGCGGCCCATAGACATCTACATCTATCCTCTATTACAAGTCAAAATGCAGATGCGTTGTCACCCGTGAGGACTAAGATGGAATGCCTCATTTCCAGTAAAAAAGGCCTCCGGCCACCTCCACTAACCAAGCGAAACGCAGAGGTAAACCTTTACTTCACGCTGGTATTTTGTGAGGTCGTGGTACCACCCTGGTTCGAGCCGGCCCATCCGTGCGACAGCAAAAGCCGCCACGTGGCTTTACCACTGTTACGTATGTTGTTGTAATATTAGAACTAAATTTAGGGCTACGACGCAGTTTTAAATGACCATTCATTATTTGTGACGTAAGGAAGCCAATATAATAGGCGCGGTTTTTTCGAATCGCACCGATTATTGGTAGACTTACATAACAGGAGATTAGTACATTATGTAACTAATTTATGAGTTATAGGAACCATCGTAAGATATAGTGAACCGACGATAAATAGCATTCAGGAATCGCATTCATTTCATGATTTGTTGGAGGGATTTTCTGATATAACAAAGCCCGTCTCATTGAAATAAATGCTGTCGACACACAAAGTTAGGTATTACACAGATACCATAGGACCGCCAGTCTATGCTAAGCCGCGACCTTTACCGCCGGAAAATTACCAAAAGGTTAGAGACGAATTTCGTTATTATGCAGGAATTAGGTATTAGTAGACCATCCAGAAGCCAGTGGGCAAGCCCTCTACACGCCGTAAAAAAGAAAGACGTACAGATACCACCCTGTGGAGATAATCGTAGGTTTAATGTAGTGACGAAACCGGATCGGTATCTGGTACCGGACTAGGACTTTACTTTTGGTTTGACAAGTAAGACAATATACACACGCCTTGATATTAATAAAGCTTACCATTTTATTGAGGTTTCATCAGAGGACTTCTAAAAACAGCCATTACCACCCCTTTTGGTTTGGATGAGTTTCCGCGAATGAAGTTTGGCCTTAGAAACGCAGCTCAAACCTACCAGAGATATATGGACAGCACGGTTCTGCTTGGAATCGAAACATCGGTAAAGTAGGTAATGAATAAGAGTCGTCAATTTTTTCGTTAAATTGATGATGTCATCATACCGTCGTGAAGTGACGTCATCCACCGAGAACATGTTCGAAAAGTATTCACATTCTAGTTAAAGTAAATGACCTCGATGACACTGTAGGTTTTCTCCCTAACGTCCGTATAAATGACAGCGCGGTTCTTTGTGCGTCGGGTTTGAGACCTGCAGACCCTCAGTGGTCCTACCTAACCTAACCTAACCTAAGCCTATAGATTTGTTGCTGGGGGCCGACGCTCTGGGCTTCATCTTGTTAAGCGAGATACGAGACCTACAGCCCGATGGCTTGTCAGCCATATCCGCTGTATTTGGGCACAGCTTCTTTGGACCGGTTCTGTGGTCTCCACCTCCTCAGACGGCCGACCCACTCTCTGTTGTGGGCGTGTCTGATAGTCTGCAAATTACGCTCGAATTGTTAGGTCGCGTGAATACAGCCTCTTATTGCGTTGTCTTTTTCGTGTGTTTACGTGACAACGAGGCTCTTCTTGAGTTTGAGTGATTAACTTAACTTCGATTGCCATTAATTTGCGTCGACGAGTTGCTTGTGTGGGATTTTAATATCGTACGAAGACATTTTTCCTTTGTCGGTAGAACGCTAACAATTTGTGACCCGAGAGGAGATCGCGTTCGTCTTCGATTATAATTTTGTGCTAAGTGACGTTAGACTTGAGGTTACATAAATGTGAACGCCTTACCAAGTGCTACGCATATCTTTGGGAGCAGAGCAGCGCATGTGGGTCTGCTGTCCGATTAAATCGGTGACGTCTCGTTTACACACTTTCGCACACCACTTACATACCACCAACTTAACCCCTGACGGTACCTTGTGGTTGACCCTACCTCCGGAACTCGTTAAGTTTGGGTTTGCTTATCAGCCATTACATAATAATTATTCATAGGATATTTGGGCCCAAACCCTCTGGTTGCCCGTCGAGTGGGCTACTCATGGGCCCTAGTCCATTCGACTTCTGTCGGGCCAACTGAGGGCCGTAACAGTACGAACATCCTAAATAAATACTGTTAAAAATAACAATTAACTTTAGTTGTCTGTGCTCGTCGAGATATAAAATGCAGTTATTTAATTTATTTTATAAGCCTAAAGAAATTATTTAAGGATGTAAATATTGAATTAAACGTGGGTGTGCAAATAATTACTTCGTTTTGTAATTTTTACTTACAATTATTTTTAATTTTTCCTTATTTTTAGTCACTCTTATAAATATACGCTCAGCTTCTATACGTGATCAAATTTATAACAGGGATGTAGTCCCTCGTTTTTGCTTCGATTTTTTTGATTGAGCAGAGTCTGAGTGCTCAATTTCACAGTACGCAAGCAACCTTGGTTCGATCCCTGACAGTCCCAATAAAATTGATATTTGCAATATTAATGTGCTGATTTACCACGTGCTCGACAGTAAAGGAAAACATTTTGAGGAATCCTACAAGTCTTAAGGAATAAAAATACATCAAAGAAGAAACATACGACAAATAAATGTGAATACCTGGCAACACGCACTAAAGCAGCGCGCCAGACTTATTACTCCTCAACCATCTCAGAAATAAGAGGTAGTACCTATACGCCCCGCCGTGGGACGAATATTGGCTGAATAATAAAGATAGTCCAAAATATTGGACAACTAGTATTTCTACTTATGACAGATAAAGGTTCTTGAGAAGCAGACATAGGTCAAAGGTATGACATCTAACGTGTTGTTTTTTTTTCTTTTCATTGCAATTATTTACATTATATGGATTTTTTTTTATTTGTAACCACGTAGCTTTTTTTTCTTTTTGCAAACGAGTATAAGACTCACCTGATGGTAAGTGACTACCGCCGCCCATGAACAGCTGCAACACCAGGGAGGGAATCGCAGATGCTTTGCCGGCCTTTTAAAAAAGAGTACGCTCTTTTTTTGAAGGTCCCTAAGTCGTATCGGTCCGGAAAAATCGCTGATGTTAATCGGTTCCACAAGGAAGTCGTGCGAGGAAGAAAACATCTTCTAAATCGCACAGTGGTGGAACGCCAATCATCCAGATGGTGTGGATGGTATCGGGAGTTCTGCCGCAATGTGCGTTCGTGAAATTTGGTGGCTGGGATTAATCCGAACAATTCCTCAGAGCACCCACTGTGGTAAATGCGAAAGAAAATGAATGAATGAATGAATTAATGAATATACTTTTATTGTACACCACGAACAAATATACAAATGTCATAACAAAAATCAGATTATAATATGTACAATTTGGCGGCCTTATCGCTACATAGCGATCTCTTCCAGGCAACCAAAGGTGTAAAGTAAAACAAACAAATAATAGGTAGGTGCTAGGTGGTGCAATATAAATATACATATAATAAATGCAAAAAAAGATATAAATAACTAAGTAATACATGAAATAATATATGTGCACGACGCAAACAAAGTAATACGTCGAACGAAATGACTTACTGATTGCTTGTCGTAACCATCGCTAGTTGAACAACCTAGGGGCGGTGGGCGGAGCCATGAGGATGTTATGATCGTCGGGCCGCACTCACGGTTCCACAATTAGCGGTGGTTGCACACAGAAACGCGGGAAAAGCCGTAGCAATAATATTGAAAAATATAGCTTTTATTTTTAAATAAATAGTATTGTAACTATGTAATAACTCTCGCAATAAAGACACCGAACAAATGGCGAGAGTTAACATAGATTTAGAATATAGAAATTAATTAATGCCAAATTGTTGAATAAGTATTGTATGTAAATTGTATTCCTTTATATAGTGCAATTTAATTTCTTATATATTAAGCCTTTAGGCACGAAAAATAATAAACAGGGCATGTTACCGTGACGCGGCCGCGGAGCGAATGAGGCTACGCGCTCCGTGCCACGACGTTTTATATTTATAGTACTGAGGTGGGGGGCAGGTTCCTCAGCTCAAAATTGCTGGAAAAACAACGTTTTAACCTTTAGTATATATAAAAATTGTTATGTAAGTATTAGTTTAATAAGTAGTTGTAAGAATGTTATATATTTAAGTCTGTTCGTTAGTTTGTAAGAAATCTGACCAATAAAGAAAGGCGCGGGGGTGAGGCAAGGGTCCGCTGGCCAAATCATATATAAGACGGGCCGGCCGGAACGGTCGGCAGTCGCTCTCCAGCCACAGAAAAGAAAACAGCAACAAGAAAAGAAAAAGTTCCTCCTCACCGCCGCTTGCCTCCAGTTTAAGCAAGACCAACGCGTTTCATTCATTTTTCGAACGGCGATCCGTAACATTAATGGTCCTTCGAGAAGCCAGATTACTAGAAAAAAAAGACAATATCAGTCTTGGTATTGCCGGAAGAAAGAAGCAAACCGCAAGAACGAAAAAATATTATTGTGAAGAAAAATGGTGATTACGCGTAGTAACAACGGAGAATCATCGAAGCGTCGCAAGGATGAACAGATAACCCAGGGGGCCACAGAAGAGGCCTCTGGGGGCGATTCAACCGCTACTGGTACATCCAACACCACGAGCGAAACCACAACGGTCAGCGATACAACCGCTACCTCTGCGACCGATAACACGACCGCAACGGAAGAAACCCAGCAAGAAAAGGATCGAAGATCGCAGCGCACATTAAAGCCCGACGAAGCTAGGTCACGCCGCTCTGTAGCCTCACGCAAGAGACTCCTCGCGGAGTTAGAGGTGAAAGAACGGTTAGCCGAACTCAAGCTCGAGCAGGCTCAGTTGCAAGCAAGAACGGAAATGCAAGAAATACACGTGCAGCGATTACAAGCAGAAGTCGGATCAACCGATGACGAAGATGAAGAAATAGAAGACGATTTAGCATCAGTGCGCATTAGTACATGGTTGCAAGAAAAACCTACATCGCAACCAGCACCGTAGCCCGCGCCGCAACCCACGTCGCACTTCGCATCGCAACCCACGTCGCACTTCGCATCGCAACCCGCTCCGCAGTCTACATCGCAACCCGCGCCGCAGCCCGCGCCGCAACCCACGTCGCACTTCGCATCGCAACCCGCTCCGCAGTTTGCATCACAACCCGCGCCGCAGAAAGAAGACAATGGGCAGGTGCAGCAACAAACGTCGCTACCTTAGCCGCTGCTCTATCACAAGCAGTACGAAGCACAAGGGAGACGCCGAAATATGTGCAAGAGCTACCTGCATTTAATGGTAGCAGCAAAGAATGATTCAGCTTCAAAACAACGTACGAAGAATCTTCAAAATTATTTTATTATTATTATTTATTAAAAAAAAAAAACGTTACCCCCACACTAGGATTTTCTCCTGTATCGTAGAGGCAGTTTACAAACATACATTGCACGAGGACAAACATCCAGACCCGGAACAATTATTTGTAGGCCATACTAATACTTGTTCCGATTCGAACCCGCGGTCCCCGGCGCAACAACTCATTGCAAAGCCACTGCGCCACGGAGCCGTCGAATAATTCACGATGAACGAAAACATAGCGAGAATATGCCGGAGCTTAAAAGGGACCGCAAAAGAAGCCGCAGGTTGCCTACTTATAAGCCAACCAGATCCCAGCCTGATAATGAAAGCTTTGGAAAGGAGATTCGGATGACCAGAAGCGTTAATTCACTTAGAAATAGAGAAGCTGAAGCTGCTGAACAAAGTTACGGACAATCCTAGGGAGCTATGCATATTCGCAAATCGCATAGCAAACGTTGTGAGCACCATGGAAGCACTCAAGAAAGCACACTATCTGCATAGTCCGGAAATGACGCGAGTTATCACAGACAAACTCACGCCCATTTTGAGAAACAAATGGTACGACTATGCAGCCAGAAAGAAAGAAGATATCCCAGAGCTTAAGAAGATATCAATGTTCTTAAACGAAGAAGCGGACAAATGCAGCGCGTATGCCTTGCCGGAGTTCATAGCAGAGGACAGCGAGACGAGAGAGCGAAGACCGAGAAAAATAGAACGTGCTTTCGCCACAAGCAAGAAACAATATGAAGAACGCTGCCCTCAATGCAAACAAGAACACAAACTGCTCGATTGCAAGTCATACGCCGCTCTGTCCACTAATGACAGATAGGAAGTAGCAAAGAATAATAATATCTGCTACCGCTGTCTGCGAGGTAAACATCGCCGATTGCTGTGTAAAGCTCCACCGTGCGGAAAAAGCGGATGCATGATGAAACATCATAAATTGCTGCATCACGATAGAACAGCAGAAATTGAAAAGGAAATGCTATGGAAACCGCAACATCGGCAAGGGAGGTCATCACAGCGACTCAACCGTACAAACACCGCCGCGCTTATCTAAAGATTGCGCCGATAACAATAAGGGGGCCGCTAAGCTGTGTCGAAACATACGCATTATTGGATGAAGGAAGCACGGTCACCTTAGTTGATGCCTCGATCGCCGACGTCATCGGCGCCGACGGCCCAGCCCACGCAATATGGATACAAGGGGTCGGCTCGGACGTGAAACATGAGAAAAGAAACATGAGATTCGTACTTAGGCACGAAAAATAATAAACAGGGCATGTTACCGTGACGCGGCCGCGGGGCGAATGAGGCTACACGCTCCGTGCCACGTCGTTTTATATTTATAGTACTGAGGCGGGGGGCAGGGTCCTCAGCTCAAAATTGCTGGAAAAACAACGTTTTAACCTTTAGTATATAGAAAAATTGTTATGTAAGTATTAGTTTAATAAGTAGTTGTAAGAATGTTATATATTTAAGTCTGTTCGTTAGTTTGTAAGAAATCTAACTAATAAAGAAAGACGCGGGGGTGAGGCAAGGGTCCGCTGGCCAAATCATATATAAGACGGGCCGGCCGGAACGGTCGGCAGTCGCTCTCCAGCCACAGAAAAGAAAACAACAGCAAGAAAAGAAAAAGTTCCTCCTCACCGCCGCTTGCCAAGTAATCGCTAAAAGATAATAATAGTTTGTGCCTCACATATATGCAAAGGTAGTGCATTCCAGAGCTTAATAGACTGGACAGTAAAAGATTTATTGAAAAATGATGTTTTGTGAGTTGGCACACTTAAAATGAATTTTCTAGAAGAGCGTAAAGGTTCCCCCGGAAGCCACACAAAATTAAACTTCTCTTTTAGATAGGGAGGAGTAGAAGGGTGAAATAATACACAGTACAGAATCGAAAGTATATGCATATTCCGGCGAAGTCGGATAGGTAACCACTTGAGATGTGAGCGAAATTGGGAAATTTGGTCAAATTTGCGCAATCCAAATATGAACTGAATACTAGTATTTTGAAGTCTCTGATGCTTATTTAGCTGGTCCTCAGTTATGTCTACATAGCTTGCATCAGCATAGTCGAGAATCGGAAGGAGAAGAGCCTGTGCGAGCATAATTTTTGTGGGAATGGGAAGAAATGATCGAAGGCGACGCAGTGAACAAAGAGCGACAAAAGTTTTCTTACTTACCTCATTCAGTGTGCATATCCAATTTAAGGAATTATCAATATAAATACAAAGATTTTTGACATTATCAAAGTAAGGGATAACAACTCCATCGAATACGATCGGTGGTACAGAGAACCAGTCAATTCTTGAGATAAAGCTCTGGCTACCAATAATGATAGCCTGAGACTTTTTAGGATTAACATTTAGGGCATATGATTTACTCCACTCGTGAATAAAATTTAGATCCTTATTTAATGTAACGATTGCATTCGGCAAATTCTCAAGAGTTGACTGGGTGTAAATCTGGACATCATCCTTATACATGTGGTAGAGATAAGATATTTTATGAGTGATTAAATTAATGAAAATGGAAAAGAGTAAAGGTGACAACACGCCACCCTGCGGCACGCCTGCAGTAATATCACACCAAGATGAGTGAGTTTCATCGACACGAATACACTGCCGACGGCCACAGAGATAACTTTGAAACCAGTCAATTACTGATGGAGATATGTTAAGGGAACACAACAGACTCAATAGTATATCGAAGTCAACAGTATTGAACGCCTTACTGAAATCCAGCAAGGTCATGACTGTGAGTTGTTTATTATCCATACCCCACCGTAAGTCATCAGTAACTTTGATTAAGGCAGTAGCCGTACTATGACCAGGACGGAAACCGGATTGTAAGGAATTCAATAAATTGTGCTTATTAAGGAAAAGGGTCAGCTGTTGGCAAATAAGTTTTTCAAGGACTTTAGAAAGGAAAGGTAAGATCGAGATGGGACGGAAATCAGAGAGGTTGACGGGATGAGATCTCTTTGGAAGGGGTATAATTTGAGCACTCTTCCAGGCTTGAGGGAATTTAGAGGAGTAATAACATCAAGGAGAGGAACAATCATATTACGGCTAATGTTGTCGCTACCGGCAGCATTTGAGGAGATGGATAATATGGTCTTCTTAACATCACATTCAGTAAACTGACTAAAAACGAACGGAGGATAATTAGGAGTCGGAGTTACAGAAAGCGATCGAAGTGTTTGCAGTTTATGTTCGCTATCAAAAGAGTTAGAAGGATTAGAAAAATGTTGATTTAATAGTTCAAAATCAACACTAGGAGGTGAAGCATTTAGGGATGTTCTACCAACTCCAACTGTTTTGAGAAACTTCCACACCCTAGATGAGTCACCGTTCTCGACTGATGTATGAATATGGCGTCGTTACGCATCTCTACATAATATGTTGCATCGATTCCTGATTTTGGCATATTTCCTTACGTTTTCCTCTGTTTTATTCCTCTTAAGCTTTGACAATGCCGCATTCTTCTGCGAAATAAGCTTTTTCAGATCATCAGAGAGCCATGGAGCAGGTAGGTGTTTAAGTCTCACATAATGCATTGACGCGTGAACGTCATAAAGCTGAGTGAGAAAAGAACAGAACAGTTCCACTTTATCGTCAATGCATGGAGCTCTCTCGATCACTGACCAGTCAATATTATAAGCATCCTCACAAAGTTGTTCAATATCCATTCCTCCAAAATTACGTCGCAGAACTAATTTAGGTTTGATTTTAGGAGGGCATAGTTTATACGAAAGAAATATTAAATCGTGATAAGAGAATGCATCAGCAGGACACTGTCACTATATATAAATAAAGATCGAAAGGTACCTATACTATTACAACCACTAGCAGCATGAAAGAGAAAGCATATAACAAAACAACAACTTAAAGTAATAAAACAATCAGTTTAATAATTAAAATTACAAAAAACTTGCAGTCTGACGCAAATAATTTTTAAGACATTTTGAAACTGTAAACGTCAGATTAGGCAGTATGGATTAAGATGCCTTTGCCAATCTAATAAAAAAAAATAAGAAAGAAATCTGACAACAGGTAACAACTGTCACTGTTAGTATAAATAAAGATATTTATACGTAATTATTATTAATAAAAATATAAAAAGAATGATTAATTACTCTACCAGTTATGTGCAATAATTAAAATACTTTGAGTAACAATCATCAAACCAGTGGAAACCTATTTTGAAACTTATGTCATAAAAATGAATGGCAAAGAATTATTATTTAAAACCTGATTACCTAAAAGTTACAAAAAATATATGAATTGAGCTGCTGCAGTAAATTAGTAAAAACAAAACCATAAGAAAAACATGCCACTAGCATCATTTTTAGCCGTCTTCCTAACCCTAGCAGTAGTAACACAGGGCTTGGGAGCCGAAGATGCCGCCGCCGCCGTCAAGGATGTGGTAGTAGGGACACCACCAGCATCGGGAATGGCGATCACCTCAGCCACGGTGTACACCCAGTGCTTCGTGCCGTCGGACCTAAGCACCACAACATATCCATCTCGTGTCCAACACTAGGATACACCAAAGCGCTTCCGAGCAGCAACGAACGCTTCATGACGACCCTTAGTCATGAACTCAGATAGAGTAACTCCGCTACCCTTTAGCTTGGTTTTGGAAAACCAAACTTTGTCACGGAGATCCTGATCTCGAAATTTCACGAGCAACATACGAGGCTTGTCGCCATGGGGGCGCCCTAAGCGATGGCATCTGGTAATAGAGTCCACACTTAATTCAGGGATGTTCAGCCGCTCTGATAATACCTTACTTGTGCAATGCACTAGGTTCTCATTTTGAGCTTCTGGCAATCCATGGACAAGCAACATCTTCCTCCT